GGTCCCATAGCTACAAGTTTTTAACCTAGTATTCTATGGATTATGGTTCCACAGCTTTATATATATATATATATATGTGTCAGCTTTTCAATAAGTACACTTCTTGCATGAAAATATTATTTAGCTTAATAAACTGATTAAGTCCTCAAAGCCTGTATGTTCATGTATCACAGTTCCATGTAGAACATCTAAACAATAAGACCAATATTAGATGATTCATTACCTACACTTGTTTGTAAAAAGAACTGCTCTAGAAGCATTACGCATGGACCACCATTACAGTAGAACACAGCAAGACACATGTGAATATCACCAGACCTTCTACACGACTGATAAATATTTTGCAGTTACATAATATCATGTTTAATAGCAGGAACATATATGATCACATGGTTCAAGCAGACCTCATTATGGTTGCAAATAGGAAATAAAAAAATTTTAAATGTCAAAGAAACATTTAATTCTTCATTCTTTTCAAAGTTAAGTCACCAGAGTATAAAAAAATCTGTATGTAGACTTAAAAGATTGGGATTCATTATTGTTTCCATATGGACTGCCATGTAAATGCTTAAGGGTTAATGCATTTTTTTTAAAACTTCCTCATACATCTTACTATCTAGCCAGCTTAAATGGATCCAATCTCTAATAATAATATCTAATTCAACCTTACTCTAAAAATTGTTCCACATGCCTAACTAGACTACCTGTCATTCTAAGCATATTTTTGATAATCCTTAAGTCTTGGAGCTTTGTAAGCAATTCATTCCTGAAACTGAAAGGGCCACATCTATTTCTATTCCTAAACCTGTGTATGCTTTTAGTTTTAATTTTAAGCAGCTATTCTAATTCACAACTTTCAACATCATTTCATCCTAAATGTACAAAATAAAAGAATATTCCTTGATACCAGCAACTAAATTATTAAAATACTCTGTGTACTTTACGTTTAGTACCTGGTAAGTAAATTCTAGTTTTATTTGTTATTACTACTACTAGTGTTAGTCTTTCTATACTCCCCACAACAGTTTACAAATTACTTTATAGTTAATCATAAGTTAATGTACTGTACCTCTCTTGGTTATCTCTGCCTTTTGAATCTATTAAAGGCATAAGATCTTATCTCAGTGCTAACTGAAACTAATAACGTTTTCACTAATACTAATTCTACTATGCACACTTGTAAATTGTATTTGTAGTCTCCACCCATATCGTGCATCATTTCCTTGATTTATGTTTCTAATCTGTTATTTTATTCCTCTGCTCTAACACATATCTAAGTCTGTTATTTTCATAACACAATCCTTCCCAAACGCCAAAGGCAAAGCTACATGAATTATAATCTGTATCATAACTCCAACATAAGCCTACTCCTGTCAAACAAACTCCAATTCCGAAACTTGCAAGGGTACACTACTAAAATAATATGTTTTTTTAGAATAAACTATACTTTGTTTGACACATAGCTTCAATATAAATCATTCACTTCAAAACTAATTTAATTCCTAAATTTGTTAATCTATTACCTACATAAACAGATATATCAATCTTTGAAAATGTCTGCTATGGCTTAATTAATAAGCAATATTTCAGTAAAGGTCGCCAAGCGATACACTTTAAGTTTTCAATATTCTATTTAGTTATAACTTCAAAAAAAAAAAAAGAACAACAAAAAAAAACAACATATTAAAAAATATGAAAATTAAAATTTTTAAATTGACAGAAAATTCGTGCCAATAGTTTTAATAGTGTTAGCATATATTATTATTTGTTTGCGTTTTTAAGATACAGTTTTAACTGTTAATTTAAACTCGTAAAATATTATTTAACAATACGCCATATTTTCGAAAAGATGTTAGTTTTACAAAATACAATTTTGAACCTAACAGCAAGCAAGCTGTTGAGACCCAAATCTTCCCGAGTGTTTTTTTTTAAGCTTACCAACTATTTTTGGCATAAAATGTGATACAAATTACACAAACTGCCAATGTGTGTGAGTTTTGTCTTTTTTCAAATATCTTTTATTCTGTTCCTTTCGGGTCCAAAATCAAAGATGTGTAAATTCGGCATTTTAAATCTATATTTTCTCACCACAAATCACTGCACAAAAGGCTCTTCGAACAGTACCAGAACTCGTTAGTTGGCCTGAGCGATGACAAATAAGAGATTCTCTAAAATGCTATTTACATGTGCAGTATAATACTGTTACGCCTCCAGTCGTTAGTTAATTTCCAGCAAATTATTTCCGACTAAACTTTAGCGACACAAGTACTTTCTTAAATAAAACTGGTTTATTCTTTCCGAACACAACTTTACGATACACTTAATTTCAGCAGTCGCTCTATAAAAACGCTATAACTCACGTCTCACGTGGCCAACAATATTCTCGCATACATTCAATTACTCATTACCTCCCCGTCGCTTCATGGCCTGTCTTATATATACCAGACTACCCCCAATCTAGTAGTCTCCCGCAAATTAACGAAGGAACAGGATATTTCTAGAAGGAGGTGGCGAGATACTAGTCAAGTGACCTCGCTGACGCAACACTGCCCCCCCCTACTTAGTATTGTTCGTCCCGAACAATATCCACTTACATTAAACCAATAACAATTAACAATAACTTAATTAAATGTACAGAATTACAAACACAAAATTACAATTCAACAAAGTCTCTTAATTTTACGGGACGTATCTTCTTCCGTACTGGTATTCGTCTCGTTGGCTTCTGCTTCACGTGGGGTTCATCTGCTTCATCAGGAAATGTCCTGTCGTCGATAACAGTCACATCAGTGGTAGTAACTTCATCAAGGGCTTCACCGTTTCCCTTCTCAAAACTGAGTAGAGTTTCTTCTTCAACAGTGGCTTTTTCAGGTGACACTTCTTCAGGAGCTTCATTTGTTCCTTTGTTCACTACATCCCAACTGAAATGTCCTGGACTGTGATAACGCCAAAGCCTGTTGGCATGCACCACTTTTGGCTTACCTCGCCGACCACATTTTATCCGGAAAGTCACGTCATATGGGCCTTCCCATAGAGAAGACCACTTAGGAAACTCCCCTTAGGTCTTCCTAGGATTATACAACCATACTTTGTCTCCTGGTACAAAGCTGACTTCAGTAGATCTCTTATCATAAGTTAACTTCATCGAATCAGCAGACGTTTTCAAGTTTGAACGCACTTGATGGTGAATATCATCCATCCTTTCCGATAACACTTTCACAAATTCTAACAAATTCTTAGGCAACTCTTCATAAGGTGGGCGTCCTGTTAACAGATGCACTGGCAACCGAAGTTCCCGACCAAACATCAACTTTGCTGGAGTGTATCCAGTGGTTTCATGCTCTGCTGTCCTATACGCCATCAATAGTGGAGGGAGTAAGACATCCCAGTCATCTTGGCGACTATTACAAAACTTTGCCAATTCCTG